AGGTGCTTGTGGCCGAGCCGAGCCCTGGGTGCTGGGACCCCCTTGGGCCCTGGGTTTGATCCCTCAGGGGCTGTAGGAACTGTGCCCTGGCCTTTGCCTTCAGCTTGGCCTTTTGCTGCTCCCTTCTTGCACTCACCTGCTGTGCCTTTGTGCCCAAGTGCTGCAGGGCCTTTTTGTGCCCCTCCTGCAGCCCCCCTCACTGCCTGTGGGTGCTTGTCTTGTTTTACAAGAGAGGTGTCTGCTCGGTAAGGCAGAAAAAGCCTCTCTTGGAATGGAGAATGCAAACCCCCTCCCTTTTCGTTTTTAGAGTAGTGAAATCAAGGGGCTCTCAGGCAAAGATATGGGAGTAGGAATACCAGTTCTTTACTAGTGTGTATAATAAAGCAAACAAACACCAACACCTGCGGCACTGACAGCAAACAGAGCCCGGACCCAGTCCCGGCCTTTGGGCTGCGGCGCTTTCCCCTTGGGTGCAGTTCGGGGCACGGCCGGCAGGGGCGCTGGTGGCTCCCGCGGGGCGGGGCAGCGCATCCCTCCCATGGGAACCTCTCTGAACGGAAATAGAGCAGTGCCTTCTAACTCTTTCACTTTTTTACCTTCTCTAGCCTTTCTCCTGTGTTTTGGGAAAGAATTTGGAGAGGGCTGCCTTTTAACTGAGCTCCTAGTGTTTCGATAAGGTGCTTCCTCTAGAGAGTTTCCTTGAACGCCTGGAGCTGTGGTTACCGAGGGTACGTAACTCAGAGCAGGACGGGGTCAGGGGAGGATATCCCGCCAAGGCTTGGTGGGAGTGTGGGCAGGGTCTGCTGCCAGAATCGGCAGAGGGGGATCTTCCCGTGGAGCCCGAGGCGGAGCGTGGGTAGCCCCCACATGGCTGATGGCGGCTGATCCAGCAGAGCTGCCGGCAGAGCAAAGGCAGGTGGGAGAGCCTGGCAGCAGCAGTGGTGCCCAGCGCAGGTGGCACGGGCAGGGCAGCCGGGGATGGGATGGCTGGGACCCCCCCTGGGTGCGGTGGGCGCAGTGACCTTGGAGGAGGCGGCAGGACAGAGCAACCCCCATCTTCCCCAGCATGGCCGGCAGAGCGGCCGCGGGCCAGGCAGTGGGAGCAGGGCACACAAATTGAGCGACAGCGCCGGGGCAGGTGGAGCTGCCCTGGGCAGTGAGGCCGCACCTGGGATGGAAACCGGGGCAGGCGGAGCTGAGGCGGGCAGCGAGCCGGGACCCGGGACAGGCGCCTCGGCCGCGAATGGAGGGGGCAAGACCTGCAGAGGATCCCACTCTCTTTCTGATTTTCCTCTTTTTCCCTTCCCTTTCATTTCCCCTTTTATTTTTCTCGGAGGTTACTCATACTTTTAAGATTTTTATTCTTCTATAATCCTCTGTCTAACATATTTCATATTGTCTTCTAGGTAAATGGTTTTTTTTACAAATAAATCCAGAGCCTAAGAAATCTAAACTTCTGCTTGGATACATTGAAATGATCGATGAGCTAACTCACGACCTCCTAATGTTTTTTTTCTCTTGACCTTTTTATTTATCCTTTGGCAAATTAAGCATCTTTCAGTTACTTGCTTTGCAACTCCAAAAATCGCAGTGCGCCCATAGTTCCTTAAAAAATAATCGCACAAAACTTGAGTATCCCAGTGGGTTTTCTGATGCATGTTTTCTAATATTTTCTTAGAAGCACATTTATTAAGTAATTTTCTTCCATCAAGAAGTTTCCATTTTCCTGATTTATCTTTTTCACTTCCTGTCGTGTTTAAATCTTTTTTCTCGGCTTCCCTAAACTTTGGAATTTCCAGTTTTTCCTCGTTTGGAGTTAATGTTAACATAACTCGTTCATCTCCATTTTCTGCTGCATCCTTAGCTTTGTGCTCTGCCCCCAGTTTGCCCAGTTTGCCTCTCCGTTGGCCCGGGCCGGGTTCTCCCTGCCTGCAGCGGCTGGGAGCAGCCGAGAGCCCCGCGCTGCCCATCCCGACCTGTCCCAGCTCCATCCCCGCTCCTGCCGCGGCTGCGAGGGCTGCGGGAACGGGGCAGCGAGGGTGTGGCTGCTGCTGGGGGAGGAGGAGGAGGGAGGGAAGGGCAGGGATGAAGGGGGAGGAGGAGGTGGGGTTAGAGGGGAGGAGCAGGGGTAGGGATGGAAGAGGAGCGATGAAGGCGGAGAGAGAGCAGCGATGGAAGGAGGGGAAGGAGGGGGGGTTAGCAAGGAGGAGGAGGAGATGGGATGGAATGGGAGAGATGGAAGAGGAGAAGGAGGTGGGGGTAAGACAGAGGGGGAGGAGGAGGGGGGAAGGAAGAGGAGGATCGGGAGGAAGCTGAGGGACAAAGGCAGATCGAGGCTGAGCCGAGGTAGGGAACCACGCGGTCGATCCCTGCCTGAATTTGCAGCCCCCACCTGTGGGATCATTGTCCCCCCAATTGCGCCGGTGAGCAGAGAGGGGGAGCTCGGCCGGATATCCCGGGGTGTCCCTGGGTTGGGGTTTTTGGGGGATGTTTGGAGAATGAAGAAGTCCAAGGCTGAGCGGAAAAGGCCCCTTGGGGGGACATCGGGGGGTGGCGGTGGCAGCTGCCGGCGGAGGCAGCCTGGAGGAGCAGAGCCCTGTGTCCCCCAGGAGCCCAAAGTGGGGAGCCCAGAGAGGGGGGAGCGCCGCCATTGGCGGGAGCCTCAAGAGCCTGGAGAGGGGCAGGGGGGACTCCTTGGAGCCGCTGCAGCCCAGAGCAGAGAATGAGGGGAGAAGGGAGCCCGGGAGCCCAAACAGCCCCGGCATCCCAAAATGGGGAGAGCAAAGCGGGGGGAGCTTTTGGGATTGCTGGGACTGCCAGCAGCCTGGGTAGGGTCGGCACCGGGCACAAGGGGGACCCCCAATCCAAGTGTGACCCCCAGCAGCTGGGACAGGGAGGAACCTCCTGAACACCAGAGAAGAGGGGGAAGGGACGGGGAAATCCTGGGAGGCTTTTTCAGGGCTGAATCTTGGTGTTTGGGAGGTTTTTCTGGAGCCCAGATGGCCAGTGACTTGTTGTCACTGAGATAGAAGGAAATGTGTAAGAGTTGAAGGTCTGGGCAAGTGGAAGATGGAGAAGGAAATGTGAAAGTGTCGAAGGTCTGAGCAAGTGATAGATGGAGCTTTAAGTTACTATAGTGAAAAGGGGGGATCCTGCAGCTCTGTAATATAGGGCCTGGATTCAGTGGTCCAGTGTGGGGATATGATGAAGGCATGATGGGTATTGCTTGTAATTTTGGGGAAACAGATGGAAACTTTGTGTGAATAATGCATGATGTGTTGTAATATGTTGATGATATGGGGATAAGGGGTGGAATGTCCTGGGGTGACGTTATGATGCTTGTATCCCCATTCATCTGTTCTGTGCCTTTAAGACTGGCTCTGAAAAGTGGAAGTTTTGTTTGGGTTTCCCTTATCAGGACACAGAGACAAGGCAGTACTTAGGGCTGTTTTCACTTCTAGCTCGCAGCTCGCTGCTTTTGCTTGCTTGCTTTTCTGCTCTTGCTTCTGCTCTCGCTTTTGCTTCTGCTTATTAGCTAGTTTAGCTAAACAGTCCAAATTCCTTCCCGGACTGTTTCTCCTCTCCTGTTCCTGTGACCATCTCGAACCTGCTCCGGACTGGGACCCGGGAACACCGAAGGTTTGGCTGCAGCAGCTGGCCCAGCGCCGGAGGGACTGAGAACAGAGCAACCACCCCCGAAAGAGACTTTCTGATTTTGTCATCTTTCTCAGAGCGGTGTCAGCTGGTATTGTTCATTTTGTGTGCGGGGGGTGCTGTGCCAGTCAAATAAACAGGTTCTTTCCACCTCTCTCCGAGCAATTTTTTCCCGAACCGGTTGGGGGGAGGGGCCGTGTGGGTTTTGCTTTCTGGAGGGGCCCTCCTTTGCAGATTCTCTAACAAATTTGCCCTAAACCAGGACACTTGTAGAGATGGACTTGGGCAGAGGCACCTTCAAACTCAATGTGCTCATCCCTTCTTTTCCCCAAACCAGGATTTCCCATTGCCAACTCTTGGGAGGCTGCGAGGAAGAGGAAGATGCCCCAGGACAATGAGGCAGGTGAGGAGGAAGTCAGTGTGTCTGGAATGCTTAAAATCAGATGGTTTTGAGAAAGCTGCAAAAGACAAACCTCAGAGACAGTAGAACTGATTTGAGCTTTGTAGCAGGCAATAGATTGATCAGCAGAAAAATTATATAAGAAGTAGAAAGTAAGGAGGAATAGAGCAATGGTCTGTGTGCATTAACTTATCTAGAATAACTCCCTAACCTGCGGAAAAGTGTATCTAGCAAGATATTAGGAAGTTCCAAGCTTAATAGTGGAGCTCTGTGCATTGTTTTTTAAGGCTTACAAGCAGGTATTGTACTTGAAATAAGCAAGCATTTTTTTAACCCTCAATGAGCTTATAGTGCTTGGATAGAACTACTGTCAATATTCTTTTGTTTTGTGTGATTGGTCAAAAACCTTTTAAAGTAAGTTTTAACATGAAGTCCTTTGTCTGCTACCTGTGAAGTGAGCTACAGGCATCTTCCCATTGTCATAACCAAGTAATGAGACAGATGGTTGGAAAATCACACAGCTCAGGACGCATTCCCAGCAGTCTAGTCCTGTTTGTGATTTGTGCACAGCCCGGAACTGACGATGCGTGCCCCTTTCCCCTCTGTGCTGCTCCATCTCCCAGCCCAGCACAGCCCCCGGCTGCAGCTCAGCCCTGGGGGGATCTCCTTGCCCTTGCCTGTGGCACGGAGGCAAATCCCATCCTGTCCTTGTCCTTCCTCCCCCAGAGCAGGAGCTGAGCATGGAGAGCAGGAAGGACAAATGCCCGCGGCAGAACCTGGTGGCAGAGGCTGTTTTGAGCGGCTCCACGGCACAGGAAGCCAATGGGGAGGAAAAGCCCTGAGATGCCGCACGAGGAGGGGCTGCAAACGCAGCCGGCGGGGATCTGAGGGGGAAAGAGCCAGCCTGGGCCGGGAAGGCGGCCGGAGATCGAGGCAGAGCTCGGAGCTGGTGCTCCATGAGCAGCTCCATGACGGGGAGAAGTCCCACACGTGCGTGGAGTGTGGGAAGAGCTTCAGGTGGAACTGCCGCTTGATTGTGCACCAGAGGATCCACACTGGGGAACGGCCCTACGAGTGTGGGGAGTGTGGGAAGAGCTTCAGCGTGAGGTCCAGCCTGATGAAGCACCAGAGGATCCACACTCGGGAGAGGCCCTACGAGTGTTCCAAGTGTGGGAAGAGGTTTACGACCAGCTCCCATCTGCTCCAGCACTATCGTATTCACAGAGAGGAGAGGCCCTTCCAATGCCCCGACTGCGGGAAGGGATTCAAGCGCAACTGCACCCTCGTCACCCACCGGCGCATCCACACTGGGGAGAGGCCCTACGAGTGTGATAAATGCAGGAAGAGGTTTCAGAACAGCTCCAATCTCCTCCGGCACTATTGGATTCACAGAGAGGAGAGGCCCTTCCAGTGCCCCGACTGCAGGAAGGGATTCAAGCAGAACTGCACCCTCATCACCCACCGGCGCATCCACACAGGGGAGAGGCCCTTCGAGTGTCCCCAGTGTGGGAAGAGCTTCTCACAGAGCTCTCACTTGACCCAACACCAACGGAGGCACCACTAAGGGAAGCCCTGCGAGTGCCCCGAGTGTGGGCAGAGCTTCGTGCGCTGCTCCAGCTCCGTCCCCCACTGGAGGAGGCACTTTGGGCACAGCCCTGGTCACTCACATTCCCTGTGATCCATGTTGGGAACACACCTGGCTGCTTCTACTTTTTGTTTGGCCTTAATTTTCCTCTACTTCACCTTCATCCTTTAAAAACACCCAAAACTGGGTTAAATGAAGGAAATTGATTGAATATATCTGAGTTCCATAATTTCTCAGTTGTTTTAGAGGGAATTTAGGATTTGGGGACAGGTTCTGTGTGGAGTGCTGCTGTTGCTATGAGGCAGGAATTTAATGTCACCCTTCTTGTGTTGCTAAGAACTCCTCCCCTGACCCCAACCCCAACTCCACCCTTGGGATACCCAATAAAAACTCCACTTCCTGTGCCCTGTCTTTGGGTGGTAAGAAATGGATTCCCAAAGGATCAGCCCTATTCCTACTGGATTCCAAAGGATCACCATCATTTTTCACTGAATTCCTCGAGGATCAAGCTTTTCCCACTGGATTCTAAGAGGATCAGCTCTTTTCCACTGGATTCCCAGGGGATCAGCCCTTTTCCCACTGGATTCCAAGGGATCAACCTTTTTCACTGGATTCCAAGAGGATTCTGACTCTGTCACTGTTGTTTTTTTGTTTGTACTACTGCATTTGTATTTTTAGTTTTTCCTAAGAAAGAACTGTTATTTCTACTCCCATATCTTTTCCTGAGAGCCCTTTAATTTCAAATTATTTTTATTATTATTATTGATATTAGTAGTAGTAGTAGTAGTAGTAATCAAAGGATGGGCCATATAAAATAGTTCATGAAATATGTAAATGAGTTTATGGTTATGCATGAGGGTCTATGAATCTGCAACAGGCTGATGTAATCAAGCCAGAATAATTGAGGGATGTCCCCGAAAATAACTGGGGCGTCTTGGTGGCCATAACAACCTTTGCTCGATGGTCCTTGTCTCGCATGACATCAGCCTGTTGCATATTCAGAGACTCTTTGCATATCCATAAACTCATTTACATATTCTAGGAACAAAATTGGCTTCCTCCTGTTTGGGGTCCCACCCCCATCCCAGCTCAATTTGGGGTGTCCCATCCCTCTCCCAGCTCAGTTCTGGGATCCCATTCCCCTCCCAGCTTAATTTGGCGGTCCCATTCCCCTCCCACCTCAATTTGGGGGTCCCATCCCCTCCCAGCTCAATTTTGCGGTCCCAACCCTCTTTTCCCCACTCTCCCTCCCCTTTCCGATCGTTCCCCCAGTCCCCTCCCCCGTGTTTGGTTTTGGGGGCTCCGGGGCCCTCCTGCTCCGTTTTGGGGTCCCGACCCCGTTTTGGATTAATTTGGGGTCCCCAGCCCATCCCCAGGGTCACCTTCCCCCCCCCCCCACCAAATGCGCTCCTGGCATCTGATGAGTCATCAGCAAGACACGCTCTGATTGGCTGGAAATTACCCCGCTCGGTCTCTCAGTATTTACCGCAATGAGAGGCCTTGGTCTGTGCCTGGCAAGTGATGAGTCAGAGTCGAGCCGGGCGCTGATTGGCTGAAAATCGCTGGGCGGGGCTCGTGCTCTGAGTTTGAGCCCAGCAGTTGGAAAGTCGTCAGTGCCGCGCGTTCTGATTGGTCGGGATCTGTTTTGGGGTGGGGACGTGAGGAACTGGGGATTCTTGGGGTTTATTTGCGTTTATTTAGGGTTTGTTTGGGGTTTCTTTGGGGTTATTGATGGACTATTTGGGGTTTATCTTGGGTTTTACTGGGTTTATTTCTTGTTTATTTGGGGTTATTTGGAATTATTTGAGTTTATTTGGAAGTATTAGTGTTTGTTTGGGCTTATTTGGGTTTATGTGGGTTTATTTGGAAGTATTTGGGGTTCTTGGGGTTAATGTGTGTGTATATGGGGTTTTTTTCGGTGTGCTTGATATCATTAGGGGTTTTTTGGCTTTAACTTGGTGGAGGGGTTTTTTTCGTTTTTTGGGGTTATTTGGGGGATTTCTAGGTATTGTTTGGGGTTCTTTGTGGTTATTGGGGTTTTTTTCCAAGTGTTTTGGGGCTATTTGAGTTATTTGGGGTCACGTAGGGTCAAAAGCTCCAGGAATGTTTCTCCTGCAAAAATCGGGAATTTTTCCTTAAAAATCTGAGAGTTTCCCCCCAAAAGTCCGGGAATGTTCCCTTAAAAATCCCGGACTTTTCCCAACCAGTAGTTGCGCGCCCTGCTCCAAACCATCCAATCGCCGCAGGTCACCCCTCAGGAACACCAGCCTCCTTGTGCACCGATCCACCCAATCACTGCATGCCTCCCCTCAGACACGCCCACCTCTCACACCGAACAATCCAATCACCGCGTTTCTCCTCTCAGCTACTCTTGCCTCTCTCATCCTGAACCGACCAATCACCGGGCGTCTTCCCTCAGCAGCTCCCATCTTTTTTGCCTTCATCCAACCAATCACCGTGCGCCTCCCCTCGGCAAAGCCCGCCTCCCCCGCCCATCTCCTGTCAATCACCGCACCCTCTACAAAACCAACCAATCACTGGCCAATTCCCCATAGCAACTCCCGGCCTCCCCACGCGTACCAGCCAATCAGAACCGAGCGCGAAGCAGCACCCCCTGACCCTGGGGCCGGGCATGGAGCGGGCGCCCCCTCCCTCTGCCCCGCACCCCGGGACCCCCTCAGGGACCCCCGGGAGCCGCCCCGGGCTCGGGCGGGTCCTGCGGGAGGCGCTGGAGAGACCGGGGGAGGCGCTGGGAGAGGACGGGGGGCTCCGGGAGCTGCTGAGGAGGCGCAGGGACAGGTGAGGGGTCCTGGAGGGGTCGTGAGGGGAATTTGGGGAGGGGTCTTGAGGAGATTTGGAGAGGGTCTGGGGGGAACTTAAGGGGGTTTTAGCAGGGTCTGGGGGTGTTGGGGATGCTTTGGGGAGGAATTTGGGGAGGGGTCCTTGGGGGGTGTCACTATCCGTCCTCATGGACGGGTTTCATGATGGTTCGTGGATTTGATCTCAGGGTGCAAAAAGAAACGACACGGTACAAGGGGGTTTGCAATGATAATCGAAACAAATGCACCTTTATTGAATGACCACAGCAAAATGCAATAAAGAGATTAAGGGAGAGAAAAAGATAGAGGAAGAGAGAGACAAAAGAGAGAGAGAGAAAGAGGGGGATAGAGCTACCAAACGTAGAGACAAAGTCCTTTGGTCCAGTCCAGTTGAGGATCCGCTGTTACGTCGGGGAGATCTCAAAGTCTCTTGCTAACTCAGAGGTTTTTATTATGATAACTCTATTGGAAATTGCAAGGGAGGGAAACAGACACAATAAGGAATAGATGTAACAGGTAGTCCATGCTCTCAGCAGTAAGCGAGAGCCATTGTCTTCTTGGTCCAGCAGTCACAACCTGCAGGCAAACATCTGGCTTTGGTCAGCTTGCTTCCCCCACACACCTGCCCCGGGCTGGGGGTTTCAGTCCCAGTCCTTGGAAGGAGCAGAGGGGCCTTTTCACATGGGGGTTCCATGTCTCAGTCCTTGATGGAGAGGCTCCTTCCATCTCAGTCCGTCTGTCACGGTGGTTGTAAAACAGGTGAGGGTCTTCTGTGGGGGGACCACCTGTAACTCAGGAGAAGTCCAGCCAGGCCGAGAGGTGGGACAGCTCCCAAGGCTGTTGTTGCACAAAGAGCACAGTGTCCCCTTCTTAGCATACAGCAAACAACAGCTGTGAAAACAATGGCTTAGCACTGAGTTCTGGTCTTGGGGCCTTGTGGCATGTGACTTTCTCCTACAGAGAAGGCAGGGAGGGTCTTCTCTTCACTGGTCCGCAATGACGATTGTGAGGCAGATGAGGGAAAATTTGGACAAACTCTCACAATCCTCCACCCTTTGCTCCCCTCCCTTTTTCCAGATCCGTCCCCATCGCCCCCCGGGCCCAATTGGGAAGCTTTATTGGGAGCACTGGGAGCAGGCACTGGGCGGGGGCAGAGCGCCAGCGGGGCTGGGGGGGACACGGGACCCCCCCAAAGTCAGCGGAGCGGGGACGGAGCGGGGGGTCCCGGCCGGGCCCGAGCCCACGGGGAGGGGCTGCGGCCGCCGCCGGCTCAGGAGCTCTGTGGGCAGAGAAAAGGGGGTGACACCGGGCTGGGGGCCCCGGCGGGAGCGCACACGCTCCGCCACGGCGGGGATGCCACCCCCGGCAGCCGCCCTGACCTTGCGCAGGGAGAAGCCGAGCCCCAGCGCCAGGAAGACCAAGCCCAAGACGAACCCCCGATGCCCGTCAGCATCTTCCTGCGGGCGGCGTCTGGCGGCATCTCTGGGGGGTCCGCAGGGCTCAGCACCCCCAAAACCTCTCAGGGACACCCCGAGCCCCTCCCAGCGCCCTCCCTGTGGCCCCCAGCCCAGCCAGGAACCACTGAAACCTCCCTACGATCCCTTTTTGGCCTGGCCAGGAGCCACCAAAGCCCCTCCCGTCCCTCTCAGCATCCCACAGCCCCCTCCCAGTTGCCCCCAGCGCCCCAGGACCCCCAAAGCCTCTCGCAGTCCCTTGGCAGCCCCGGCAGGACTCAGCCAGAGCCCTCCCAGGCTGTGCCCAGCACAACCGAGCTCATGGCGAGCCCCTCTTTGCCATCACCGATCTCCTTCCAGCCCCTCTGGGCTCCCTGCGATCCCTCCCAGTCACACCCAGCGCCCCCAAACTCCCTCCCAGTGACACCCAGCACTCCCAAACTCCCTCCCAGTGCCCACCAGGACCCCCCAAACCCATCCCACCCTCCTCAGCATCCCCCAAACCCCTTCCCAGCCCTTGCCCAGCCCCCAGCTCCTCTCCCACTTCCAGCCCGGCTCTCTCCAGCTCCCTCCCAGTGCCTCCCAGCACAGCCCAGTGGCTCTGCCAGCGCCCCCAGGGGCTCCGCCGTACCCCAGTGCCGCCTCGGGGGCTGCTCCAGGCTGACGTGCTCCACCTGGCAGCTGTAGCTGAGCCTG